ACTGGCACACCAGGGACTCAAGGATACTCACACGCAACGCCACTGTCCAAAAAACTCCTTTGTTGCGGTGTAAGTTCAAGAACAAAATGGACCATTTCCATTCAATCTTTCCTTTGCAAAATTTGATGACGTAACGTGGGTATCGCAGTACACCAAAGTGACAATATTTGAATGCGGTTCATAGATGGGACCCGAGCATTGCGTCGGCACTCGACTTGGGCTCGTGATAATTGGTAGCTCGAGCAGCATTCGGTTAGTGACCCATGTTCAATCGCTGCAACGACGACAACAGCCGAGCCATAACGATGTCTGGAACTCAGCGCGTGTCCTGCGCTTTGCCAACCCCAGCGCGTGGCTATGATCAACACTGGCAGCATATAATCGGCTCCAGATCACGTGGCCGCTTGTTCTGGCTGCGAGTTGAGGGGGTGAACGCTGCTCGTTTTTTTTTTAATTTTTTTCTGGGACTTCTATTTCGTGGGGTGAAAAACTAACGCGTTTCATAGGTCATTAGCATTGGGGATCCGTTTTAAGCGGTATTTGCGCAAAGAACAAAAATTGTTGCATCGCCCCTTTAAACAGTCTTGAGTGTCTCCCTGTATTTTTTTTTTTTCTGTCAATGCCGCCAGGCTCCGACGCCATAGGTGCTGGTGGTGCGAAGATGGGCGCTTGTTTCGCCCAGTGTGTAGATAACAAAAACAAAAACTCGGTATTCAAGAAATGTGTCTCTAAAGCAACCTGTCACCGGGAATTTCGATCGACTCACCGAGAATAGAGAGGTCAAAAAGAGCCTCCTCATTTGATGAACAAAAATGGCGACCATAGAGGGAGCTGGGCGCTACTTTTTCAAGGATTCAGTGACTTTGGTCGCGCGTAGAGGAAGAGAATTTCGTAAACATCACTGTAGCGGTGGCTTAACCGAAGAGGCTTTTGGGATCATTCTATATTACTTATGCACACATCGCTCCGAGAAATGAAGTGAAATTAAATTAAATTTTTATTTCCAGAAATTTACTCTGGCGGGCCTCCAGACACAAAGCTACCATATGGTAACTTGACCGGTCTGGGGCCCTAAAGCAAAACAAGCATAGCAATCTGGAAGAAAAGTGTGATACATTGAAAAGCCTCGTTATACAGCATATATAGTTCCTCTTACAAACCAGACATGTACTTTAGTAACAATAAAACAGAATAAACATGTGAGAGCGCAGAAAGCACCGCGGAAACCAGCGAGATGTTAGGCATTGGAAAGTCATATCAAGACATTACAAAAAAAATTGCTTCACTAGAGCTGCGTAGTTTTTTTTTTTGCATTTTTTTAATAAAAAATAGAAATACAAGGCCCAATTCAAAGTTCCCGTCAGTGCACCGTGACGTGACAGCGTACCGCAAGGTGTCGGGGTGGTCACAAGGGAGGCATCGCAGGAAGTCACGTGAGTTGTACCCCTCCTCGTGCTTACCGCGAGCGCGTGTAATGATATTTTTTTATATTTTTGTTATTCTCCGCACCTCCACGAGCGATCCAAGCAGACAAGGTTTCTTTTATTTGCTTTTCATCGGTTAATGTTGCTGTAAAGGTAGAAGAAGAGGAGTCATTGAATTGACACACTGGAATTGACGTGATCAATCACAATGCCTAGAACGTGCTGTGTGAGGGACTGTCTCGGTATAGGCCCGTAGTTATCAAGTTTTGAGCAGCGCTCCAGGCGAGCAAAATAAAATATTTGGCTCTCGTTTCGAACGTGCGTCATCACGCTTCCCCACTATACTTCTTTAAACTCCGTTCCATTCGAAGTACTAGTGTAGCAGAGGCTACAAGACCGAGCTCCGTCCCTTCGAAGCACGCGCGCTCGTGCAGTGCGAGCATCTTTCGGAGGAACATGTTTTTGCTAGTAGCTTCAGCTTCACTATCACGTGAGCTGAACCATACGGGCTCCCGGAAGCTATGAAAGAACGCAATGAAATAATAAAGCTGAATGGAACGCTGAGGCCACGAACTGCATATTTTTTTTTTTATTCTTTTTTTAGACGTTTTGTTAACGCGCGTCTGCAGATACTGACAGATGCGTGCATTCGAACGTGGCACGTGCACAATCGAACGTTACAGCGCCGCCTAAAGAGTGCTATTTCAGCAACTGAAGAAGAGATCACACTGCATGCATTTCCGAGAGACATACAGGAGATGGACCGGTGGCTGACTGCGGTTCCCACAGGACAGCTATTAGAGTCGGTGGGTTGGTGATAGATATGATCGATGCACTTTAGTGATGAACATTACAACCCTAGGCGAAGTTTACTAAAACTCACAGGTCTCGATGTGAGACCTCAACTGCAGATCTGCAAGTTTCCTGCCCATCTCCCTGCAGTAGCGGCACTCAAGAGGCTTGAATTCAGGCATCACGACGCATCGGCTGCATGTGCACCTAGTAAACAAGTTCTACTCATGTTCTAGACAAAACACGTACTTTACGCTTGACGTTTACTTGTACATGGTACACTCACCAGTTCCTATTCTTTAGACGGCAGGCATCTTCAACATGGAGAGTATCGATGATTCAACGGCCTCGGTGTGTGAACCTTCAGCAATGCGATCAAGCGTGTCGTATGCTAGCAATCCTAATTTCTGCGAGTGTTCTAAATTTTTTAGCTTGGTTTGTGTCCAGTATAGCTCTGTAACATCGAACTGACGACATGCACTCGTACACTGGCTTGTTCTCGCAACGCTTTTGTAGAAAACGCAGCCCCATGTTATTGTTTTCTGAGAAAGTTTCCCTTGTGTATTTTGTAATCATGTTCATCACGTGCCAAAGCACGTGTGTATATTTTCTTTTTCTTTTGATCGTGTGGTTTTTCGCTTTGGCACGTGGCGTTCGATCCTCGTTGTTGTCTTCAGAGCACCGACAAACCTCGGAGTCGGTCGGCCGCCACCGGACGCTGGTCTCACTCGCGACGGGCTCTGCCACGTCGTAACAGTGGCGACGAGTTTCAAGCACATGAACCAAGAGGCGGGTGATGAGCAGACAACGGCAGGGACGGTATCTGGTGACGCAGGGTTTCCAAGGATAACCGGCCACGCTCCAAGCGTGGCCCGCCATCTGCCGCAATTTGACGACGAACAAGATAAGTGGAACGCTTACCTCGTGAAGATAGAGTCATATTTTGAAGGCAACGATGTGGTGGATGATGCTAAGAAAAGGGCTCTGCTGGTGTCAGCGCTGGGAACAAGTACGATACAAGTGCTTTGCAGAAGGGTGGCGCCCAGGAAGCCAAATTCGCTAACGTACGACGAAGCGGTCCGTGCTCTGAGCGATTACTACGACCCGAAACCAAATGAGATTTCGGAGAGTTTCAAGTTCTTCCATCGATGCCAAGAGGAAGGAGAATCAGTGCACGCATTCATCGTGGAAATAAGAAGAATTGCTAATAACTGCAACTTCGGGACGACATTAGACAGGATGTTACGAGACCGAATCGTTTGCGGCGTCAGATCAAAGAATCTGCAGAAACAGTTGCTGGCCAAACGAGAGCTGAGCTTGCAGGACGCCGAACCGTGGCAGCAGAAACTGAAGAAGCCGACGCACAAAAAATATCGCGGGAAAGTGGGCCATCCGAAGTACACACACTGAAGAGTCAGCAGAGGATGCCTCCCGCTGCCAGGACATCGCTGCATTCACCAGTAGGCTGCGAACGTTGCGGTAATGCCAATCACAGCAGTAGCAACTGTAAATGGCAAAAAGCAAAATGTTTCCAGTGTGGCAAGCAAGGGCATTTGGCTCGCAAGTGTCGTAACCCTAAGAGTGCCAAGGGACAAAACAACCAACTACAAGCAGTAGAGTCCCTGGACGAAGGTGACGACAGCCTGACTACACAGATTTAGAATCTGATAACCCTAAAAGAAAGGAAGCTTGTGCCGCCAGTGCGACGCACGTTCACGTGGGGTGGAATTGATCTGGCCATGGAAATTGACACGGGGTCACCTGTCTGCGTCATAACGAGAGAAATGTACGAAAGGCATCGCAAAACTTGGCCAAGACTTCAAAAGCCTCAAGTGAAGTTGGGTTGCTACATGGGATCAATTCCAGTTATCGGAGAGTTAACCATGAAAGTTGTATACCAGTCGACGACCGTACAGGGTACATTGACCGTCGTGAATTGCCGAGGTCCATGTTTGTGCGGACGAGACTTGATTCAGAAATTGAATCAACGTGACGTACCTGTTTTGAGCCTGACAGCAATCCCGAAATCTCCCTCTGATCAGCAGCAAGGTCTCCAGAGTCTACTGGACGAGTACGAAGACCTCTTCTCTCCAGAGCTTGGAGTCATTCAGGGACCACCTGCGCATCTGTACCTCAAGGATCGAGCAACTCCAAAGTTTTGCAAGGCAAGATCTATTCCGTTTGCATTACGAGAGAAAGTATCCCTGGAGTTGGATAGGCTCGAACAGGCCGGCATTATTTCACCAGTTGCATACTCTGAATGGGCTACGCCCATTGTGCCGGTTCTAAAAAAAGATGGGTCCGTACGTATCTGTGGGGATTTTAAGGTGACACTGAATCCTGTTTGTGCGTTAGAACAGTGCCCGTTCCCGGTTATCGAGAACATGTTTGCTTGTCTGAACGGCGGTGACCGTTTCAGCACACTGGACTTGCGGGACGCATATAACCAAGTGCCTCTCGATGAGGAATCGCGGAAGCTTGCGGTTATCAACACGCATCGTGGCCTCTTTTGCTATAACCGATTACCATTTGGAATAGCCTCAGCGCCCGCTATCTTTCAACGCAAGATAGAATGTGTCCTCCAAGGTCTTGCAAATGTGCAGGCCTACTTAGATGACGTCATACTTTCGGAACAAAGCTCTAACGATGGAACAAAACTGAAATGTCTTTTACAGCGATTCCGAGAGCACGGGGTGAAGTTGCGCAAGGAAAAGTGCAGATTCAGGCAGGAATCGGTCTCCTACCTTGGCCATCAGATTGACGGAGAGGGACTGCACCCAACAAAAAAGAACCTTGAGGCCATCGCTGGGGCTCCGTGTCCGAAAAACGTAAGTGAACTGCGCTCATTTATCGGCATGTTGATCTTCTACATCAGATTTCTACCACAAATGTCTACACTGCTATCACCGCTGTATCAACTTCTAGAGAAGGGTTCTCGTTGGGTGTGGGGCCCGGCATAGGACGAGGCATTTATGAAAGCAAGGAAAGCTTTAACAACAGGAAAGGTGTTGACCCATTTCGACCCAGCGAAAGAACTGCGCTTGGAGTGTGACGCGTCACCATACGGTGTTGGGGCCGTGTTGTTTCACCGTTTAGGAAAGGAGGACAGGCCGATCGGTTCCCGCTCACGTACCTTAACTGCTGCTGAAAAAAAATTACTCCCAGTTAGAACGCGAGGCACTCGCTCTCATTTTTGGTGTGACCAAGTTCCGCGATTACCTTTTGTGCAGAGAGTTTACCTTGGTCACCGACCACCAGCCACTCCTGGGATTGCTAAAGCCGGGCCGGCCGACCCCTGCCATGGCTGCTGCAAGGATCCAGCGTTGGGCACTGCTGCTTGGGGGCTACCAGTACAAGCTGGACTACCAGCCTGGTAAACTGATGTTCAACGCAGACGCTTTAAGCCGGTTACCGCAACCGACGTCTAAGGAATCATGCAGCTCAATGGTGCTTCCGGAGTATGTCTTAGGACTACATAATTTTGACGAAGGGACCGTAACCACCAGAGAACTGAAAGACCTGACTGCCGGTGACGACGTGCTCCTAAAAGTTAAAAGACACATCCTAGATGGATGGCCAAGGAGCCAAAAGCACCTACAAGTCGAATTACAACCATTCTATGACAAGAAGCTCGAGCTCTCAGTAGCACGGGACCGCGTGTACTGGGGTCACCGGGTCGTGATTCCAGCAAAGGCGAGGGAACGATTGTTAAGTCTGCTTCATGAAACCCACCAGGGAGCATCCTCAATGAAAGCGGTCGCGCGGTCAAAGTTCTGGTGGCCTGGTCTTGACAGGGCAATTGAAAGCCAGGCGGCAGTTTGCAGGGAATGTGTTCAAGCTATGCCTATGCCAAGTGCGAAAGAGCCAGTTTGTTGGCCCGAGACCAAGGAAAATTGGTCAAGAATACACATTGATTATGCTGGGCCAATAAAGGGAAAAATGGTACTAATTGTTGTCGATTCACGCAGCAAATGGATCGAAGCCGTACCATTGTCCCACGCGAACACTCAATCAACGATAGCAACGTTACGGATGTTGTTCAGTCGCTTTGGAATTCCGCGCACATTGGTGTCAGATAACGGAACTCAGTTCACAAGTGGGGAGTTTAAGACGTTTGTCACGATGAACAACATTTCGCATCTTCGAACAGCTCCCTTTCCGCAATCCAACGGTCTGGCAGAAAGGGCCGTGCGCACCGTCAAAGACGGGATTAAGAAGATGCGAGGCGAGAACTTGGAAATTAACCTTGTTCGGATACTGTTCAATTACAGAAGAACGCCACAAGCCTCCGGAAGATCCCCGTCGGAAGTCCTGCTGGGCTATCAAATTCGATCGAGGATCGACACCTGCTTTCCATCGGTTGCACGTAACGCTAGGAATGATGACCCTGGATGGAATTTTGCTCCAGGGGATCCTGTGTATTTTCGTAACTACGGGGATGGAGACAACTGGACGCCTGGTCGAGTCAAGTCCACCTCCGGGTCGCGAATGCTGACTGTCTCAACGCCATCAAAGGTGGTACATCGCCACGCTGACCAAGTACAGAGAAGGATACCGGAAGAGGATCACCTGCTAGACCAGCAGGCCGGTACGCGGCCTCCGACAACATCATCATCTTCGGCGATCACAAACGATGAAAGCCACCATCCAGACGCGCCGACGGCAATCCCAGTGGAACTCCAGGGCCGGTTTTCTCGAAGCGATGGTAAACCCATTTTGGTAAACCACGGTGCCTAGGAAGGAAAAAGTACCTAGGTACTGTAATAAACGGCTGGATATAGAACAACAATAATTATTTTTGAGTGGGCAATAAGATGCGCCATCTATCGGTGAAATAAGCCAGTCATTTTGTTTATCCTCTTTTTCCGCTGGTTGTTATCGATCTAGTATGGCATTTTAAGCCAAAATATAGTAATGTGCTTGAAGACCAATTTAATTGCTTCCGATGGTACGAAGAAATTTTAGCTACTATGCCATAGTTTGTCGACGAATATTCGAAAATCTAAAAAACATTTCCTTCAATATATTTCGCCATAAACAACGCATAACTTTCCCGTGTTCCTTCCAGTCTGGCAACGCCGGTGCTGTAGTCTCGTTTTTGTTCCTTGCAACGCACGTTTCTGCGATTCCTGCTCATCTCAACTCTTTGCCCTCTCTTCCATTTGCCCAACCGATCCACCGGTGACGAGAAGTTCTCGTCAACGGTGACGAGAAGTTCTCGTCACCGTTGAATCGCTGGCCACCGGGGATATGTAGAAACCTCGATGCTGTCGGCATACTGCCGGCGCACTGCGAACAAAAAAAAAACAGTGCAATGTCCCAGCTGTTCACCAGAAACGAAGACTTTATTGTGGATAACCCCCTTTCTCCACAAAGTAATTGCTGCTCACGAGTTGGCATGCATAGTGTAACAAATTAAACGTGTTAGAATAAATATATACCAACACTCGTTCGCAAAACATTTTTTTACTCACAATAAAAACACTTGCAAGGCTTATGTACCGTCATATGTCTTGGATCCCGGACTGCTGAAGAGTGATGCGTTCACGGAATGCTGCCGTCGGTTAGTTGAGTAGCCCCTCTGAACTACCGCTTTGCTTGACGTGCTAATAGGTTGATGGTGCGTCATTAATATAACAGCCGGATCGAAATGAATGTTCAGCAGAACCAAGCAGAATTATTAGCCCTCGTTGAGCGACGCCACGGCCATTTGGCTTCTAGGTACTGCTCCACCCTCGGCGCCCCTGCTCTCCAAGTCACGTGACCTAGAATTCCCCCTTCTAGGGACAATAGTTAACTTTGAACCACGGTTCGCGTTCGAGAAAAGGGGCCCAGGAAGAAGCGACGTTACGGCGTTCCAGCAGGACCCGAAAGCCCGTCGACAGGTTTCACTTCTAAAGAAGAGAGAATAGACTACTTCCATAAAGCCATGCATGCAACACGGCGCGCGTTGCACTCTGGGAACTAGTTGGCCAGGGAGGAGGGTGGCATGGTTTCGGTTTCGATCGACACGTCAACAAGAGATCGTTTTCTGGTCCCGAGAGCGTCATTTGTGGTCTCTAAACTAACCTAAATTGCCAGACCTCGAAGCTTTAGCACAAGCCTGAGACGTATAGCTTGTCTTAACACATGCTTGTTGTATTTTTGTACTTGAGCCTTTAAACCTTGGAGGCGCCACTGAAAAGCTCAATTTTAACACACTTCTTATCTCTTACTGACCCGCAGCACTGCACGAAGTGAAGTCCCCACCCGCTTGCTTTCCACTAATATTCAACATCGCGTATGCGCAGAGTTATCCTGCAATCATATAGGCAAATTCGCACATACAGACCGTTTTAAGAGAGCAAGTCAAGCACTTGTGTGAAGAATGTCGCACCGTTCGCCGGAAGTGCGCCGGACGGGCATGAACCCCTATGCGCACCGCGCAGGGGTTCACGCCCGTCCGGCGCACGGTGCGACATTCTTCACACAAGTGCTCGAACGAATTGAAAGCGCATTTGACGGTTGCTAATGGCCATAATATTTGTTATGTGTTTGTTTTCTTTCTGCCTGAGTATGCCGAGATAATTTCAGACACACCGTTCAGGCACAGATCTTGGGCGTCAGTAAAAACTCGTGCAAAAAGGCTTACCGAGGAGTAGGGGACGCTTGTTAGGGCCTCCGTCGTAGCTAGCCGATCTCAGCGTTTGCGAAAAGTTAATCTTTTATCAGCATAAAATTTAGTGGGAGATATATGATGACACGAGGAAGACATCATAGTAATTTTGTGCAGTAGTGAGGTCGAATTTATTGCGTTTCCTTAAAAGTTTATGCGTAAACGCTGGGCTCAACTTTTATACCCTGTGAGGATGCGGCTTGCTTTTCGCCCAATGAAGTAACAAGAAACGGACGTTTGGCAAAAAAAAAAAATTGTGTAAGGCTCCATATGAACAAATTTCAGTTCTAGTTCACTAGTACTAGACGGGATTATTGAAATTGAGCTCAAGCATGCACTCGTGGGGCGAGGTGACTAAGCCACGACTTACTACGTTCGCATACGCACGCACAATATCCGGTGTTTCGGGAACCAAGGAAAGTGCCCCAGTCTTCGTTTTGTATCGCTCGAGAATGAGTGTATTGTACGTTCGTGAAAAGTCAGACAACTGAAAACGCAAGCAGCGCGTTCGGTCGCGGCGTGATAGCATGAGATGAAGCTGCTCAGTCGAAACCGAAACTGAGTGGCCAACTAGTTCCCAGAGTGCATTGCGCGGTATTTCGCCGCATTGGGGCGCGTCGGTTTTGGAAGTAGTCCATTGTAGAAAACGCAGCCCCATGTTATTGTTTTCTACGAAAGTTTTCCTTGTGTATTTCGTAAACATGTTCATCACGTGCCAAAGCACGTGTGTATATTTTCTTTTTCTTTTGATCGTGTGGTTTTTCGCTTTGGCACGTGGCGTTCGATCCTCCTTTTTGTCTTCAGAGCACCGACAAACCTCGGAGTCGTTCAGCCGCCACCGGACGCTTGTCTTACTCGCGACGGGCTCTGCCACGTCGTAACAGCTTTCATCATTGACCTCCATCACATCGAGCCACTGACTCTTCGTTCTCAACTTTTACAGCACGCAAACCAACCAATGGTGCAGCGATAAAAAGCTAGTAGAACTGAAACTTCGTTATCTACCATCGCTCGTACGAAGAGCAGAATAAAAAAAAAAAAGAAAAAGACTTAGGCACGGTCGCGGAGAGCACGAGGAGTGAAACTCACGTGACTTCCGGCGAACCCACTTTTAGTGACGTAGGTCGATGCCTCCCTTCTGACCGTCCCGACACCTTGCGGTACACTGTTACATCACGGTGCACTGGCGGGAGCTTTGAATTGGGCCTCGTATTTTTATTTTTATAAAAAAAAAAAAAAACTACGCAACTCTATACTGAAACTTCTTTTTTTTTTTTTTGTAATGTCCTGATATGCCCTTTCAACGCCTAGCATGAAAAAAAAATTGTTTTGGCGTGTCACAGGCTTTTTAAAGGGGCGATGCAGCAATTTTTGTACTTTGCACAAAAACCGCTTAGAACGGATCCCTGTCGTTAATTACCTATGTTTCATTTTTCACCCCACGCAATAGGAGTCCCAGAAAAAAAAATAAAAAAAAGAGCATCCTTCACCCTATCAACTCGCTGCCAGAACCAACGTTGGCCAGAACAAGCGGCCACGTGATTTGGAGCCGATTATATGCCGCCGCTGTTGATCATAGCCACGCGCTGGGGTTGGCAAGACACAGGACACGCGCTGCGTTCCAGACATCGTTATGGCTCGGCTACTGTCGTCGTTGCAGCAATTGGACACGGGCCACTACCCGAATGCTTCTCGAGCTAGAAATTATCACCAGCCCAAATCGACTGCCCACGCAATGCTCGGGTCCAATCTATGAACCGCATTCAAATATCGTCACTTGAGTGTACTCTAATCCCCACGTTACGTCATCAAATTTTGCAAAGGAGAGATTGAATGAAAATGATCGCTTTTGTCCTTGAAATTACACCGTAACAAAGGAGTTTCTTGGACAATGGCGTTGCGTGCGAGTATCCTTGAGTCCCACTAGTGCCAGTAAGCCCGTGTAAAGTGAAAAACATTCCAACTGAATATCGTTGCACCGCCCCTTTAAAGGTGAACGCTGTATAGTGTGACACGGCACAAGCGCGAATAAGCCTTTTTTTAATGAATACTAACAGGCACATACTCATGCGTTAGCATCACTACCTAAATGGCAGCGAAAAGCTGACGCCGTCTGTCTGCGGACAAAACACTGAAAAGTGATGCGCGGCGCGTAGAGAGGGGGAGATGAGTGAAGGGCAAGGGCGAGAAGGAGGTGACGTCACGGGGCGGAAGCCAATGAGAGCACGGGAAACCGATGAAAAGTGACAGCAGCGTCTGGCAGTGGATTTCACCTAAGCGTGCAAGGCAGGAGAACGACACAGAGGAGCGGCAGCAGCGCATCTCTCGTCTGTCCAAAATGCGACACAAAAAGCGGCATGCCGACGCAGGTTTGCGTCGGCATGTGGGGCGATCAAGTGCCATGCAAGAGAGTAGACGTTGCACGCGCCCCGGTGTACGTTCCCCCTGCTTTAGAGCGCGCCACGTGCCTCGAACGCGCGGCGCCGCTATTCGCCGAATTCAGTCACGTGACGAGCGGGATCAACATGCCGTGCAGGAAAGATTGCGCTACAGAGATGAACGCGCAACTCTGGCTCCCGTAGGGAGCCTATACAGGAACTCTAGCTAACACCGACGCCGTAGCGAAGCCAAGAAGAGACAACAAAAATAGGGGAAGCAAAAACGAAAGCCAAAAGAGAAAATTGAAGGGGTCAGCGTTAGCGTTTGCCAAAATGGGACGTGTTTTCCAAGGGTCATGCTAACGCATTCACTAAGGATCCACCAATGGATGTTTAATTGATGTTTTGGGGGAGCAGAAAATTATCTTCCTGAGGAGCAGCTTTATAAGTGTCCATATTCCCCTGATGGTATTGTCCCCGGTACCAGCTCCCCCTTTAGTAACGTACTCACCTTGCCCCTGCTCATTCACATTTTTCATTACGTAACAATCTAATCCGTTTCACCCCTCTCCTGCACCCTGTGTTCCGGCGACCATTTAATATCTGGCGCTGTAAAAAAGTGAAGCTGAATCCCATTCCGGATGTCCTTTTCCCATATGCGGATTCCATAAGACTTGGTTACTTTTAACCCTAAGTACGATGGTTACCTGGTTGAGCAGAGTCTAATATTTTGGACACCAAAGGACAAAGTCGCATGTTTTATATTTGTGGTTCTGTTGTGCGTTTTTATTTTCAGGCACAATAGTACAGCTGCTGACTTTGTGGATATATGGTGGGCACGTGATTCTTATTTTCGACCAAACGTGCCGCAAAACAATGTTTAATTTTACACGACAAATTAGATTTAAAAAAAAAAAATATTTAGAAATTTGGAAGTACCGAATGATTGAATATCTTCGCGATTTAAAGCCATATACATGAAGTTACTTTATTTATAGCACACAAGCTAAACGTAGCAATTGCTTCAATTAATCATGTAATCAATTAAAAGCTACCCGTAAGCACATTCAAACACCACGCCCACTTCCCAGCATTCGAGTTGAATGATTGATTGCAACAAACATAGGCTCATACGTGGAAATATTTCATACAGTCCTCTTCCTAACTCCGATTGTGATATTCTTGGCGTTGAAGACCGAAAATCCAGTAGCGAATTCGAGAGGAACCTGAAAAACAAAACAAACAAAAAAACATTGGGGCACAATGATTGATGAATGAATTGTTTTGGTTATCGGTCTTTCAGTATAGCTTGCACCAACGTTTACACGACTTCTCTTTAAATTCTGTTCTGAAATCCGTGACTCATTATATCGCCTACCCCTCCAAACTCGTGTACTATCAAACTTCTCTAGACTTTTTTTTTTCCCCTACATATTCTAACCTCCTCTTTGCGATTGCCCTCCTTTTCTCCTCCACCCTTCCATGCTCGCCAGCAAATCCCACCGTCCACGCCAAATCCACCTTCGGATAAATAGTGCAAACGACTTTATTGTTGCGAGCTCAATATTTTGCGGGTGGGTTTCGGGAATATCTGGCGGGCACAAGATTTCGCGTTTATTCGCATGATCAATTTCTCACGATATGTTTCAAGTTGAGAAATTTGTGAAAATTGGGTCATCGTGAACCTTAAGTTGTTGACAGCGTATAATATTCGTTTTAACTCTGGAAACGCGGTAAACAAGAAGAAGGCGAAGAACCATGCTTACCTTAGTGTTGTTTGTACGAACGAATTCGACGCTGTGGACGGAGTGCAGGAGGGACAGCTTGACCGCCTCCAAGGCGAACCTCATGCCGATGCAGTTCCGTGGCCCCGCTCCAAAAGGAAGGTATGTGTACGGGCGAATGTTATCGATGTTCTCCTCGCTGAACCTTTTGGGGGAATGTCCAAAAAGACACAAGTCGACAAACTTCATCTACCTCCTTCTACCACATACTTAGAAATCATGTGGGTTTCCGCTTTATTGAGTTATACATACACGAATGGTCTCCTCATAAAGTGTTGAGGCATTGAAGGGGCGGTGCAACAATTTTAGCAATTAACGAATTTGCAGCTTGCAATTTATATGTTGTTTTATCTTGGTACAAGTGATAAAAACGTGCCCTTTGCCCCCGAAATACTGCGATTCGGCTGCGTAATCGCAAAGGAAGAAAAACATTTTATTTTTCGATCTGCAGCCGCGTGCCACACGCGGCTGCAACACCGCGGTCATCGTAACCGCGGTGTTGCGTCATAGTGGGTACACAATTCGCGGGGAGGAGCTCGCTAGGGGCGCTTCTGTTTATGCACTGCGGTTGCTGAAATATTCATAGCACATAGAAGCTTTGCATTGCACGGGATTGCACCAGCAAAGGAAGTTGAAGTATCCTCATTCTGGGTCGCAGAAAAAGTCCACCAGGCGGCGTTACACGAACATCTCGCCGCGAATAAAACCTTTTGACACAATGAACTAGAATATAGGGGCAGTGGAAATAGCGTTGGCGGCGCCCCATCGGCCGTGTGAAGCCAGAAGTGTAGACTGCCGCGAGTGGCGCTGTTGTCGAAATCCGGAGGGCATGGCTACTGTAACATGGGATATGGCGTCGTGTATACGTTCTCAGGTGGTTTCTGTACACGAAGCGCCTCACCTGGATGCCGGCTATTTTTCTACTACTCCTATTCCAGTTCACTCTACCCTTGAGGCTTTTGTGTTTGCAAGGAGCGTTTAATGTGTCACACACGAGGCGTACGCCTCGTGCAGCCCTTGAAAACAGATGGCGACAGTACACGGTAATGCGCGGCCCTTAGAAGCAAATTATGATGGAGAACTGGCTCGTGGCACGTGTCCTGCGCGTTCCTACAACAATGATTGGCGGTATTTGTAAGAAACGCAAAGCGTGAATTTGATCAAGGGTCATTATTGCGCGAGCTATAGCCTGCGCGCTCCTGGCTTCGAGACATGCATTTCTAGCGCGAGTGCTCGTTCTGCGGAAGAACGCTTCAAAGCAGCGACCTCGAGCTCTCGTGCTTGTGACATTGCGAACGGAGCCAGCGACTCCCTCTCCGCTGCTTTCCTCCCCGTCGTCCCCGTGTCGAACCGTGTTATGTCTGCTTTTTTGTCCGTGCGGTACAATGAATGGCAACACTTTTCAGTTAGTAGAGAGTTTTAGGGAACCGTTTTTGCGCATCCGATGCGGTAAGATGGATCCTCCGGTACGAACTGCGCACAGACTACCGCACCAGGCTCGCACATGCGCAGTTCGTACCGGAGGGCCCATTGCACCGTATCGGATGTGCGAAAACGATTCCCTAAAACTCTCTATTGTGGGGCTTTAGGTACGGTGCGTGGAACCATAGCCTCCTCTATACTCGCAGAGCCTGGCAGTTCGACGACGGAGCCATAGGGTGCCCGGTCGCAGATTTGGAGCGCGAGGATCTGCTAGCACAGAGCGTCGAAGAGCCATTTCTCGGGGAAATTAGAAGTCAGCGCACAGCTTTTGCAGCGGCAAGGACATGAAACCCACTTCTTCGCTCGGAAGAAGTGTGTTTCGGCGTCTCGCCGCAGCGGGGTGCCAGTCACGTGGCTCTCTTCTCATCCATTGTCTGCCACTCCACCTTTTCCATTTCGGCGGCCGCTTCTCGTGGCGATCTGCCAGGCTTTGTTAGTATATAGGCGGCTATGATGAAACGTGTCTCTGCCTGGTGTGTTTTGCGTCCTTTATTCCACCCATTTATTGAAGGTGATCCCGAAGTGGCAACAAATGACGTCACAAAAGCCGGGATGTCACGCTGTCGGACGTTGCGATCCTGGCGGTTGGTCGCAGAAATGCTGGCGAAAAAGCACGGGCGAACGCGAGTGTCGCTGTCGTCGCGGCAACCCCAACTCCTGCCTGACGAAGCTTGCTTGAACTGTCAAGCTGGAGAGCGACCTGCAGCAGAACAGGCGTCGGCCACACGCACCACTGCTGTTGCAACTCCGCCGGGATCGCGACCGGCGACAGCAAAACACTCCTGTAGCGTCACCAGGCAGAAATCGAGGGACCACTTTATTTTTTACGCGGTAAATACATAAGTCGGAGACGCGTTCCTGGCGCCAGGGCCTCGACCGCTGGCCGCCACTTTCGGCGATGGTGGGTGCGCTGCTGACAGCTCGACAATCACAGAGGAGGAGCTGAGGACCCTGAAAACGGAACCCGACGGGTTCTGTTTTCGGGGCTTGACGTCACTTTGCAAGTCACTCGAAAGATGGCGTAAAAGTCGGGACGCTAAATCGAAGTTTGAGGCGTCGGCCGCGGATGCGCCAACGCCTGACTTCGATTTGTTTAATTTTAGATCGGAGATCTTAGGCTCCCGTTTTCGTTTGAGCGGCGTCGACATCGGCGTCGCCGTCGGCGTTGGCGGAACCGCGGTAAATTTAGCGGGAAAATTAATGTCACGTGACCTCAACACCAATTTAATTCCCCGCTACATTTAGCGCTGAAATTCAGTTTCTCCGCTCGATTTAGCGGACCATTCAGTTTCTCGATCCTCTAGACTTAACGGGAAAATTGACGTCACGTGAGCTCTACACAAATTCAAGTCCCCACTACATGACCTCTACACCAATTCAATTCCCCGCTAAATTTAGCGGAAAATTGATTTGGTGTTGAGGTCGCGTGACGTCAATTTTCCCACTAAATCTAGCGGAGAAACTGAATTTTTTCATAGGTGATATGACACCAAGTCATGTGACGTCATTTCCCCGCTAAGTTTAGCGGGGAAACTGAATTGGAGGAGGAGGGGAGGAGGAGAGGGTACGGAGGAGAAGGGGGCTTACCCTCCCCTCCGTACCCTCCTCTCCTCCTCCTCCTTTTGAAGAGCTGCGCTCTAATTCCGAATTACAGAGATTAGTAACCGTCTCACTTTTAAAACGCAGCTCTAAGCGCCCGTTTCCGGTTTGAGCGGCGTCGGCGACGCCGTCGCCGTAACCGCGTGGTGCCGTTTCCCATGACGACGCCACACGTTACGTCACACCCGACGTCACTCATGACGTGATTGGTGACCGTCGCCTCTGGTGACGTCACTCGTGACGTCACCGATGGTTGCATTAGGGAGTTTTCGTAGACCGCGTTTCGCCCTCCGCTAAGCCCTCCGCAACGAAGCAGCCGCTACTGCGGCGGCGCGCCGATGGCCTTGACTGTAGAGTTCCGGCTAGCGTATCTGGTTGCGGAGAGCGTTGCGGGACAGCGGAAACGATCTACGAAAACTCCCTATTATGGGTATATGTTCCCGCTAATTTTAGCGGAAAAAAATTTCCCCGCTAAATTTAGCAGAAAATTTTCCCCACTTAAAACCGCGGAAAAACTTCCTCGCTGAATTAAGCGGAAAAGTTTTCCCGCTAAAAGATATTAGGGAGTTTTCGTAGATCGTTTTTGCCGTCCCGCAAGGCCCTCCGCAACCCGCTACGATAGCGGGAACTCCACAGTCAAGGCTATCGTCGCGCAGGCGCAGTATCAACTTCTTCGTTGCGGAACGCTTAGCGGAGGAGGCAGCGCGGTCTACGAAAACTCCCTATTAGCGGGAACTTCTTCCGCTAAATGTAGCGGCAAAAATTCCCCACTAAACTTAGCAGGAAAAATTCCCCTCTAAACACAGCGTGAAAATTTCCCCGCTAAATTTACCGGAAAAACTCCCGCTAGTTTTAGCGGAAAAAGTTTCCTGCTAAATAGCGGAAAATTTACCCGCTAAATAGCGGAAAATTTACCCGCTAAATTTAGCGGAAAAACTTCCTCACTAGATTCAGCGAGGAAATTTCCCCGCTAAATTTAGCGGAAAAAAATCCCCTGCTAAATTTAGCAGAAAATTTTCTCGCTAAATGTAACAAAAAATATATCCACTATATTTAGCGGGAAATTTAAGGAAAATTTCCCGCTAAATTGAGGCGAGCAGAAGAGGAGCAGGGGAGGGTACGGATGTGGAGGAGAAGTATACCCTCCTCTCCGTACCTTCCCATCCTCCTCCTCAAGAGCTGCGCTCTAATTCGGCATTAAAGGGGATTGTAAACGTGTTTCTTTTCTTCTTTTTTTTAATAAAAACTACCGCAAGGAAAAATTCGATTTTTTTGCTTTTCATTTCCTAGGAGTCCAGGTAACAAAGATTAATTCCCCCAATTCATTCACCGAAGTCCGAAAATCGTCGCACCGCCCCTGCATTGCGCTAACGGAAGACGGACACGGAAGACCATGCTGACGACCCATGCTTTCCACTTGCAACAAGTCGAAAGACTTTGTCGCCTGTAATGTCTACCGTGTTCCTCTTCCGTTATCGTAATTTAGATACCAACATGCTCCACCATCCACATCCTTTTTAAGTTCTGCAAGAAACTCTAGGTATTTGATAATGCTGTAGTGACACCTGATGCCGTGATGCTTTTAGCTTAATATAACGAGCGAAAAGTCACACAGACCTGTCGGGATCAAACTTTGATGGATCGGGGAAGTAGTCTGGGTCGTGATGCATCGCATAAACGGGTACGGCAATCGGGCAGTCTTTTGGAATTTTAATTCCGGTGTCACCCAGAACGTAGTCAGTTGGGGAAGATCGCTCCAACCTTAAAGAATAAAGACGAGTAAAGATATGTATATATCAAAGAAACGACATATATATATATATATATTTACAAACAGGCTACCATAATATACAAGTATGTAATGATATGTAAGCATCGTCAAGGATTATCGGGGACTTTTATTCCTTCAAGGGAAGAATGTACAATCCAAGAAGCACCAAAGTATGCCTGCAGGTTTTCTAAGTACTCCCCATACAGGTCCAGGCACCACTGCCAATGTTATGCCAGCGGCTTCATTCGCTTTTGCTCAGAAAGAACTGGGCTGCATGACATGCAGCCAGAGGAATGCGTCCATGCAGTTGATTTGTCACCGGCGGTCGCCATACGTTGCTGTTGACACCATAGTAACCCACGGTTTGCCACGGGCGCACAAGATGGCGTGCGCGGCGCCAGCCCACCAAAGAGAGGACGCACTCTCCTTCGGGCCAAGATAGCGGAACTCAAACCGGCCTTGGCCACTTAGTATATGAATCAATCCAGCTTTATTTATTCTAAAATGTGTGCGGTATGTTAACACCATCTGTATTCATGTACGTCTCAGCGTTTGCTCCATAGCTGTTCTTGCAATCTTCTAAAGATTACGGCTGGGCTAACTTTCTTATTCACGAAAACTTTTATTATGCACCCTGACGCCAAGTTAACATAGGACAGGGGTGAATTCATCGGCCAGACTTGACGCGGGAAGGGGTGAAGGGGTTTGGCAGGCTTGAAAAGGAGAAAGTTGGTCTCCCAATTCCAACCCCGTTCCTCTTGTCCGTCCCTTCGCCATGACAGCTGGCACTGCTACGCACCCGTCAAAGGCGTCTATTTGGGGCACGGTTAATATCCAAGAAGGATTACGTTAGCGTCATCCGCAAGCTTCATCGTGCTACACTTCTTCAGTCATCGCTTACGGACAAGAGTCCCCGCCAACTTTGAACGACCCTTGCATATATGATAGACTAACATATGATGCTGAACAAAGAACGAAATGATTACCTTGGTCCGGGAGGAAACATTCTCAGGGATTCTGACACGACCCCGTGAAGGTACTTGAGTTTTGAGACGACATCCAAGCTTGGATCTGGCCCCTTTGGATAATAATAATTTTAAAAAAAGGTTAAAATCATTTTTCTTAATTATAATAAGTTTTTATTACAAAAACGACCCTCATTATATGATTGCACCCATTCCGTCACTAAAAGCGTAAACAATTGTGTGCCATCATTGCACGAGCAAGTTGTAGTCCTACCATATAAATTTGAATTTAGATTAAGACTTTTGATAGTGCAATATTCATCTTCTGCTTAATTGAAATTCAGAACCTATACAACATTACAACGGGGATAACTGGCCGTCGCCATGTATCTGCTCGTGCAAGCAAGCCTGAAGAATTGCGAGCTTGCCAAAGCTACGTCCAGACGGCAGCTACACGTGTTTGCAAGCATGGCGCACCAGCCGGACCGCCATGCTTGCAATGAACCATTTCCGAAATTCAGTCTGGCCACTGTGATAACCATAATCATCGAAGTGTACATCATCTGTACATGCTAATGGCGGCCTCTTGAAGACTGGTGAAGGAAGAATTTGAAGACAGGCACCGATGCGGAGCCGGAACGTCCCAAGCTTTAGTTCGCTGTATTGTTGTTCGATGTCACTGTGGCGAGACTTATAAATTTCTATGCGCTACGTATTTGACGTGTCATGTAAAATTCTGGAATGCTCAGTTTTGGCACGCCCCAGACAACTCATGACACTCAACTAAGCGTCTCGTACAAACGGGTAGTCTCCTGACACTCGACACTGAAACAAATAAAGGAAACACTGTATATCTAAGGAAACCTCAACATTCGTAAGTCTGCCGTTGATGAATAGGTACAAGGTTTTAAGTCAGACTTGTGCCTATCTCAAATACTCTACTCAAGACACTGTATTTGAAGTACTTTTTGAAGTATTTTGGTATCTTGCAAATACTTTTGATCGAGAGCTTTTGATAGTGTATTTTAATTACATTTCTGAGTATCTTGTCCTCATTATCTCAAATACCATTTTGACTTTCCACCATTTTCCTATTTTTCGGTGTGAAGTTGCGTGGGCGTGGCACGAGCAAACGTGAACAATGTTTGGGGCAACCAAATCATGTTGCTAGGTCCGATAAGCTACGGTGACTTAGGTTGAGTTCGTGAAAAGATGGCTTTTGTGTCGATTGGGACTCATAATTCACACCAAAGTTCGTACAATGAAGGTTTCCCCTCGCCTTCCCAAAGGGGCCTTTTTGTTTTCCAGTGTTTCTTCCAAAACAAATTTCCAAACAAAAGGGGTGGTTTTACGAATGTAAAGATCACCATACAGAACGGGAAGCAACTTACGACAGCAATGCAGGCTTCATTGTCAAAAAAGTAACAAACAGAAGAAAATGAGTAGTGGACACTTAAGAAGACACTTTTCTTTTGCGTTGCGCTACGGCAAACGTCGAACTTTTTTTTTTCTTCTTATTGTGAACACGGCCTTTAAGGGAACCTTGATAAGCAGAGAACAGGACTGGAAACCAAGTACGAGCTGGATGACCTCTCAAAATGCCAACAAAGCATCCCTTAACGTTGAGTGCTTTCCTGAACGCAACCTACTTGAAAAAAGGGCGACCAGTGCCGTGGCTATTACGTGGGCTCTCTTTGTTATCTATTCACTCAATTCCGTATCTCAAGTTCGTTTGTAGTTAAACGAAGCGTCTAAAGTACGCCGCAGGACGTAATATTCAACAATGTCATTATAACTAAAAAGCGTTTTTTCGGGTTTTTTTTTTTTTTTTGTCTTAGAAATGTTTTTTAACATGTATCAGTGACATCCTGCTCCTTATAGTTGGACTGCATAAAATAACCCTACAATGTTGGTTGTATTTTTTTTTTGCAATTTTGTGCTGTTGCGTGCTAATAAACCATTCTGGTAAACCAGATTTACGCAGCTGTATAATTGAGTTTGTCACTGACGTCGATACAAATTACGCGGAAGTATCTTCAAAAGTATTTGAATTACATTTCTAAGTATTTGTACCCTACTCAAGATACTTTACAGTGAAAGTAACTTGAGTAGTATTTTAAATACTCTATGAAGCAAATATTTACTAACATAACTTAAATACTTTTATCGAGCATTTTGTCCAACACTGGTTTTAACCGCCATTAGCATACTAGAATTTAGGCTGATAGTTGAGCTACTTCATGACACTAAATTTGTGAAAGGCCCCATTGTTTATAGAAAATAGGCCCTTTCCGAAATTCAGTCTGGCCACTTTGATCACTCTCAACATCTGCGGAATGGCATATGGCGGCCTTCTGGTTACTGATGATGGAAAAAGTTGAAGATGCTGCGAAGCGGATGATGTAAGGTCTATACATCCGAGGCGTTAGTACAATGCGACGCACGAATTGAACACAAGAGCTGCGAAAGCGTTTATTTCTAACTCCGGACTAGTCAATCCGTTGGTGGCACATAATCGCCTCTAAAGTTACTTGATGTATTCGTCTTTTGTTGCTTTGCAGCAAACTCAGTGGCGCCATCTAATGGGTAGCCCCGGCGCCCTTCCGGTCCACGTACATTTTCCAATTGTTTCCTCAACATTCTTTCATCGTAAGAGTGAATTAAGTGGCCGTTTCCAGAAGATATCGCGTTTATTTGATTTCGCAAATAGTGCGAATCCCGCCGTCAGCTTTAGAACAATAAGTGGTTCGGGGCTATTTGCACGTAGGCGCCACCACATTTCAACTCACGCAAGAAAGAGTGAATAAACGTTTACTACGGCTTCAATGTGGGTCGGTGCTTAGCCCTTACCAGTTCTATATATCTCAACATAAAAACTTTCCGATCCAGAACGAACTGTTAAGTATACAAAGCACACATTCTCGACCGCTGTTGACTAGCAAAAGTGATGGCGCGCGGCAAGATACTACAGACTGCAGGTCGCCTACCGCCATAGGGATGAAGCTCTCAAGTTTGGGCAGCGCCTCTGGCGAGAAAAATCGAGCATTTCTCAGGCGCGGTTCAATCGCGTGTCATTGCGGTTTGTTTCACATAGGCCCGTAGTTTTCAAGTTTTCAGCAGCGCTTCAAGCAAACAAAATAGAATATTTGTGGCTCGCGTTTGCGTCATTACGCTTCCCCACTACACTTTTTATACACTCCGTTCGATTATAAGTGCCAGCGCAGTAGAGGCTACAAGAGCTACTTCCCACCTTTTAGTGTCCCTGCCAAGCAATACAGTGCGAGCATCGTTCGGGGGAAGGTGCTTTTGCAAGTAGCTTCGGCTTCGCTATCACGTAAAGCGAAACATACGTGCTCGCGGAAGCATGAAAGAAAGCAATGGAAATATTAAAGCTGAAAGGAATGTTTAATGGGACGCGGCGGCCGCGAGTTGCATAACTTTTTGTTTAATTTTTATTTTTTTAGAAGTTTTGTCACCGCGCATCTACAGATGCTGAAAAATGCTTGTATTCGAGCGTGGCACGTGCCAAATCGAACGTTACAGAGCCACCTGGAGAGTACAGCCATCCTAAAACGGTCGCGTCTTGCGGATGTGCTCTCGCAGCCTGCCCCAGAGCGACGGGTCTATTGCTCGAGTATGCTAAGCTGGCCGAATTTAATTGTTGGAAAACATTTTTGAGGAAAAACACAACGAGAACAAAAAAGCTAATAGAGAATCATTCTTACTGTCTTGACGAAACAGCGCGAACTGCATTTTTCTTTCGTTTAGTCTATACTTTTTTCAATTCTTTGAGACGCTCTCTTACCGCGCGTGAGCAGATCTGCTGACGCACGCTTGTAAACGACTGCGTCTCGGGCATGATCGAACGCCGCATGCAGTGGCGCTTCATGCTCGATGCAAGTTGCACGTTCATGCATGGCATGTGGATACAGCACTTCACGTGACTGAATTCGGCGAATAGCAGCGCCGCGCGTTCGAGGCGCGCGGCGCGCTCAAAAGCCGGGGAACGTACGCCGGGGCGCGTGCAACGTCTACTTTGCTGCACGACACTTGATACGGCTCCTCACGTGATCGGATCTCGGCGAATAGCGGCGAGGGCGGCACGCGGCACGTGGAATCAAACGCGCAACTCTGGCTCCCGTAGGGAGCCTATGCAGGAACTCTAGATGCAGGCATTTCATGGACGCGTCTTGCGGGCCCACTCGCATACCCTGGCCGATTGAAACAGGCCTATTACGGTAAAATGTAAGCTGCTATTTGAGCCACCAGATGTCACTTAATTTCGAAAAATTGTCTATTTTAAACTTAGCACCTCGACTGGAGACACAAGGGCACCAGCACGCGAAGCGTACATGTGAACTTGACACTGACAGACTTGCAATGGCATGTGCTTGCCCGCACGTGTAGAGACATGGCGGCAGCCAGATGCCCCGCTTGCAATCGATCCTAAAATGTATTTTTTTTTTATTTTTGTATTTTCCAGCACGCGATCCTTGCCTTCCGCCTTGCTTTGGCTGCTCACGCGCGCTCAAGGTGCACGAGACACCGAAGCATTGCCGAAGGCAGGAAGCTCCCGCTGGAGACGGCGGCACAACTGAGGCTCTTCCCTGCCGTCGCAGTTACGTTTTCTCACTTTACGTAAAAGTCACCGAAACATTCGGGTCTCGAAAGTCGCGCGCCAGGCCATCTTTTTAAAGTGATGCTGAACCGAAATCTGGATTCCCCAAAACACGCGGCAAAAGCGTGCAACGGGATGCTACAAACACCAAAACATCACTCATACAGCGATATCTCGAACGGATGGCCGTATTTTTCGAAAAAGGCTTCGCATTGGGCAGAAATGTTGACGTCATGTTTCTCCGAGAAGGAGAGGAAACGGCCTCGCGTCTTCTCCGCCTCGCCGCCTTGAGGGAGCGAAGCGAAGAGAGGAGGAAACAAGGTATCTTGACGTCACGCGCCTCGTCGGCCTGGTTCAATCTCAACCTTTTTTTTTTTTTTTTTTTAAATAAGGTCGTTTATTTGAGATATCGCCTTATTAGTAGTGTTGTAGGGATTGTCACGTCCTGCCTACATCTCCTGCATTTTTTTTTTGTAATCCAAATTTCGGTTTACCATCCCTTTAAACTGGTATACCAGGCTTAATCTAAAGCGCAGAAGAGTCCCGGCAATCCGTGACGTAGGCACACGTAATCCTTCCTGTCGCAACGCGAGAAATCAGCTGCGCTAACCAGCCTCCAGAGTGCCGAAAGTGCCCACTTACATGCTGTTTGAAACATTCGTCAGCTTGTTCCCTCAGCTTGGCTTGAACTTCGGGATGGACCGCCAGGAGGTAGAGGGTAAAAGCGAGCACGGATGACGTCGTGTCTTGACCAGCAGCAAAGAAGAGGACGCACTGCGCCATGGCCTCCTCTTCAGTCAAGGCTGCAGGGAAGGGTCACCAAAGGTGCCCATCGGGGAAGCACCGGATTTATTTATTTTTTTTAACTGTGAGCACAGAACGCTCTTTCAGTCACCGACATCTTAAGAGAAGCGGGGCGGGAATTGGTGAGTTACCAGCATCTAATCATATCTCCTCGGCCAATCAGGTTGTGGCAGTATATAGCTCATAAGAACGCCGCAGAACGAATCACCAAGCTATGCGGAGCGCAAGTTCGTCTGCTCTTGCACAGGTTACGATGACGTCCTAACGCCGAGGTATTATTGAGAAAAATAGTGGGTAGGCCTCCAGGCATGTAATATTGAGGTCTACCCACTGTTCTTTCAATCAAAGCCAATCAGAGCTCGGCGCCAATCTGATGTCACCACAACTCCTGCTCAAGAAGCTGACAACTTGCTCTCTGCTATGGTAAGACGCGCCCCTGCGTATCTGAAGTCGTCAGTGACACGTAAAACACAAAGTTGTGCGGAAAACAAAAAAAGAGAGAGTTCAATTTTGAACTACGCCGGGAACTCCCTAAATAACGAGGCCTTAAGTGCGTCGATGCTTGGTTTAGAAAACACTGAAGTCAAGCAGACCTTTAACACCTCCCACGAACGAGGTGTCCGCCTTGATCTCCGAGTCGAGGTTGAAGAGTTTCTCGTTGGCCGATAATGTAGATTCAGCCGCAGCTTCAAGGACACCGTCTTGCGCGTCCATCATAAGTTGCAAGAAATCCTCCTGCCGCTAAAAAATAACCAAGAACGCTGCCAATTACTATGCACCTTGGAATTTACTCTACCCCGTTTCACTCCAGAGACGTGGTCACACATGATGCAAAATACAGTCTGCACGCAGACACTCTCTGAGACAACGTAATTTCCGGTGAAACAAAAAAAAAAAGCGCGTGGTTGTGCCTCTTACCACCAGATGACAGGCATAACCGAAATTAAAACTGAACATGAGTAATCCAGGTGGCGCTGGTCACCGTCCAATTAAACCCGTTTATTTCCTGTATGGCAGTCATGTTACATACAAGCACTGTCTGCAGACACGTCCTAAAGCATACACGCGCGTGAAACAAACATGTTGCGAAAATGACCGAGTTGCAGACAAATCTCTCATCATATCCGCAGCGAACAACGTGTCTTTTGTACGATGGATGACTTAGGCTAGGTGGCGCAAGCTACCGCTCGTTACAAAGAGTATAGCCGTCAACATCCATCCATCCATTCATTAGCAATGTGACCCCGCCAGGACCCCGCGAACGCAGCCGATGTTATACGATCCCATATGAGGCAAACGAAGCTGCGCTCAAAGTACACTGTCGCAGACCTCGTCGTCTTTTCAGGCGCCTGCTATCGCCGGCTAAACCAATTCACAGATCTCACCAAGCATTCGGCGTATGCGTAACGCCAGCATAACTTTAGTTCACAAGAGGTAAATGGCACTGCACAAGAGGGGTCTTTACTAGTGCCATCTCGTGCTCTACACGCGCAGAGCTTTTGCGAGGTTGTCGCACGTGCAGAAGGGCTAAAGTTCCCTCCACGACCGTTCCCTCTACGCATTCCGGCAGCGGTGGCGTAGCCAAACTGGCTGGTGAGATCGGTCCATTACGCATACACCGTTTATAACCTGTAGACTCCCGGTCGATTTTATGTTTTGCGTAGATATCACATATGTCTACTTAGTGCCTGCATTTCTTCTTCTGGGGCTTCATATGCCAGCCAATCAACTTTTTCTTAACTTTAGTTACGGATATTCTTAATTGAACCCCTTAAGCATCCAAAGAATAAAAACAATATTTCGCAATAAGATACTGAAGACAAAAAGGAGGGGCGGCTTCAGTATTGTATTGTCAGGTTTCAACGTCTCTTAAACACTTGCTCTAAGACACCCGCAAATCATGGCCGCTCATTCCAACCGCCAGAACCAACTGCCCCCGAGCTACCACTTCTTTCTCCTCAACCCGGTGGCTCGGCTGTGCGTGGCAACGGTCGACGAGTCTCGTCGGCCAACCCGATACCTTACAATCCTCCCCCCTTAGATTAAATGTTCAGCCGGTCTTCACAAAACTTCAGCAGCTGGTCAGCATGTGCCAGTCCTGCTGGTCGTCCAGTATTGCGGTCCTTCAAGCGATAGTCGTTCAGCCCCACTTTCCCCACCACCACGAATGGCCCCGAGCGTCTCGGTGCCAATTTTGCCGCCACGCCCTTGCTGGCATCGCTTAGAGTGTGCAGATCACGGAGAACTAGATCACCGATCCTAAAGTTACACTGTCGTCGATTTCTGTCGTAGTAGCGGCGCTGCTGCTCTTGGGCTCTTCTCTGGTTCTCTAGCGCAAACTCGTGTGCGTCTTGCAGCCTAGATGTCACCTCTGCCACGAAGCCTGGAGCTCGGCTGTCTGGTGTAGGAAGTTGACCGGGGTTTTGTTCCCATGGTTTGCGGAGCTGGCGCCCATAGCACAGAAAAGCTGGCGTGTACCCTGTGGTCACACTTTCGCAAGTTCTCATTGCGAATGAAACTTCAGGGATACGTTGGTCCCAGTCACAATGGTCATGGCAGTATGCCACGAGGCACTGCTTCACTGTTGCGTTATGCCGCTCTACCATCTGCCCTGCAGGGCGGTACGGTACCGTGTGGCGGTCTTTGATGCCGAGGTGCTTCATGACGTTCTTCCACAGCCGAGAAACGAAGACTCTTCCATTGTCACTGGATATGCTTTTTGGGAAGCCATGTCGACAAAACACGCCAATCATTTTTACCAGGATGGCCTTACTGGTCGGAGCTCGAAGGGGAAATAGTTCAATAAACTTCGTGAACTTGTCGATGACCACGAGAAGATATCTGTGGTGGCGTTTTGATATAGGTAATGGCCCAATTATATCTACGCTCAGGTGTGCCATAGGTTCCTCTGCCCAGGTACTGTCCATTAGTCCCCCCGGCTTTTGACGACGAGGCTTCAAAGTCTGACAGGACGGGCAAGATCGCACATAGCGGGAAACGTCAGACCTCATACCGATCCAAAAATACCTCTCCGCGACCCGCTTCAGAGTCTTGAAGTACCCCAAGTGTCCGCTTAAAGGGTTATCGTGTGACAACTGCAGTACCGTTTGGCGTATTTGTTTTGGAACCCAGATGAGCTTTCTTTCCCCTGAAACCTTTAGTAGCTGTCCGTCATGATCGATTTCACTATCATCAGAAAGATGTTGTATTCGACGTGCTTCTGTTTCGTCGGTCGGCAGAGTTCGGTCTTGGAGGTAGCGAATTACCTCGGAGATTTCAGGATCTTTCTGTTGTTCATCAGCGAGCTGGGATGCATTGAGGAGCAGTGATATGTCCGTCTCCTCCACTGTGGCATTTTCCTCGAACCGAAGCCGGTGCTCTGGCTCCACCGTCTCTATGGGGAACCACTCCTCGGTTTCGGTGTCCAGTGCTTCCGACGGCGGTCCCGTGACTGGAGCAGGGAACCTGCTCAAGGTATCAGCTGGGATGTTTGCTGCTCCTTGACGGTGTCTGATGAGGCAATCGAAACCTTGCAAGCGTAGCACCCATCGACGTACCCTGCTTGAGGTCTGTTCGGTGGTGAACATCCACTTGAGAGAAGCGTGGTCGGTGTGTACCTCAAACTTGGTATGTTCCAAATACGGCCTGAACTTGTCAATGGCCCAGACTACGGCCAAACACTCCCATTCTTGCACGGTGTAGTTCCTTTCAGCTGCGTTCAGAGATCGACTAATAAATGACACTGGCCGCAGTTGTCCCTCCGTGTCCTGCAAGAGGACTGCTGCGATGCCAGTGCCGCTCGCATCGGTCTCCACCACAAACGGTCGGTTGAGATCAGGGAGTGCAACCACCACCTCGTTTGCCAGCATGGTTTTGAGCTGGTGAAATGCCATTTCTTGCTGGTTGCTCCAACGCCAGGGTACATTCTTCTGTAGAAGAATGGTCAAAGGACGGGCCACTTCAGAGAACTTTGGCAGGAAAGACCGGTAATACCCGGCCAATCCAAGAAATGCTTGAATATCCTTGACACTTTGGGGGGTTGGGAAGTCGCGTACAGCTGCAACTTTATCTGGGTCAGGCCTGCACTCTCCCGGTGAAATTATGTGCCCTAGAAACTTCAGCGACCGCCTACAGGCTTGCGTCTTCGTCGGATTGATGGTAAGCCCAGCGTGGGCGATCCTAGACAAGACCACTTCAATATGCCACAAGTGATCTTCAAATGAACTGGAGTATATCAAGACATCATCCAAGAAGGCCATACAAAATTTGTGCTTGATTCCCACAAGTACTTTGTCCATGAGAGCTTGGAATGTGGCTGGTCCGCCAGCCACGCCAAAGGGCATCCTTTTGAATTCAAATGTACCCTTGTGGCATATGAATGCAGTCTTGGGGATATCCTCGTGGCGGACAGGAATCTGGAGGAAACCTTGGGACAGGTCGAAGCTTGTGAACCACTGAGCTCTGCCTAACTCTGCCAGTACCCAGTCTGTCCGTGGCATCGGGTATACCGGAACTTGGTTTTAGCATTGAGCGGCCGGTAATCAACAGCTAGTCGGTATCCCCCCGACTTCTTCGCAACCAGGACTGGGGCACAGGACCACTGGCTCGAGCTGGGTTGTATCAAGTCCTGCTGCAGCAGATCTTCGATACAGGAATCCATAATCTGCCTTTTGTGAGCATTGACGGGGCGAAGCCTGCAGCGAATTGGCGCGGAATCTCCAGTGTTGATGGTGTGCTCCATCAGTCCCGTGCAGCCAGGACGTTTGTCAAATAGTGTGCCGAACTTTCCTAGCATGGTTAAGACATCCGGATGCTTTGCATAGTCAACGTCAGGATTGTCGGCGTGCAGCAGATGTCGATCATCTGTAGGCATCTTCTTGTTATGGTAGGCCTGACGCCAGTCATTTTCTCGTAGGGACTGATCATCCGCAGGCTGTTCTCTCTGCACACAAGGGCCTTCACTTGACTCGGCGAACAATCGCTCTAAGCTATAGACTTGTTCGTTATTGGCCTGACTGGACTCTTCTCTTTGGATTTCACCCTTGGAAAACGGAATACGCTTCTGTTGTTTAGACCCGATCGTCCAAGCGCTCGAAGAAATGTGTATGGAGATGCCGGTAGCGTTAAGAAAGTCTCTGCCTAGCACTATGTCCCTGCAAAGGCCTGGCATGTAGAGGAATCGCTGCTTACGTGATCCCCCTGCCCAATGCACTCGGCATCGTACGGAGCTTGTTGTCTGAGACCAACCGGCTGCAAGACGAAGGCAGTGCTGCTCTTCTCGAACAGTCGCTCCTCCAGCCACCGCTGTCGCAATAGCTGCATTTCCTGCTAGACTGACGCTTGACCCGGTGTCCAGGAGTGCGCAAAAGATTCTGTCCCCTATGCGAAGCTCCAGAAGCGGCTCTTTTCCACCGGCTGCTGCAGCTACCTGCACTGACATGTAGACGCCTGCCGGTGCGGCGTCTACTGTCTGCCGTTTCCCGGACAACTCGCGTGCATATGCCCGGGCTCGTTGCAGCGAAAACAGCGAGACCGGCCCCGGCCCCGGCGCGCGCTCGTAGGGCACTGGCGTGACATGTGTCCCACACCCCCGCACCGGTGACACTGTAGCTGGCGATCATAGCTGTTTTCTTGGAGCACGGCCTGCTGTCGGACTGGGCTGCCGAAACTGCCGAAACCCATCTGGGACGGTGCTACGCTGTGAGCCTCGACAGCACCGAGTTGGTCCCTGTAGTACGAAGGTTGCAGGGCCGCCGGATGCAGGCACCAGGGGTACGCGTTTGGAGCAGCGAGGGTGGGCGTGGTCCAGGCTGCTACACTCTGATCCGTCACCGGAACTGGACGAGTCACTGGCGTCGCCGTTCGAGTCACCGGAACTAGGCGAGGCACTGGCGTCACTGTTCGACTTTGGAACACCAAGTCCCGGGCCACTTGGTTTGAGAGTTGGGGAGGGGGTACGTATTGGAGACGTCGCCACACGCGCTCCATTAATCCATCGGCAGCGTCGGCGAGTTCCTTGAGCGTGGCGAAGATCCTTCCTTCAACGAGATCCCGGAACTGCGGGTGCATCTGTCGGAGTACCCTCTCCACCTTCTGCGCATCTGTCACAGGCTCGCCGATCCTGTCGTAGTAACTGCTGATGACATATATGAACTGCTTCAGGTTTTCCTCGGGGTGTTGAGTTCGTTTCCGCAGTTCCTCTTTCAGTCGCTTCTTCTTGTCCACCGGCGCAAACTGACTATGGAACGCGGTGACGAAGCTGCCCCAGCTTGTAAACTCCCCCGCGAAGCGAAACCACAGCTTGGCACTTCCGTCGAGAACTGCGGGTACGACACGGCTGATGCGATCCTCTGGCTTGACACCCTGGATTAGGCAGTAACTCTCGAGCTTCTCTATGAACCCTTCTGGTGACTGTAGATCTCCAAAACCAGAAAACCTGGGAGGCTGGGTGGAGATCCACAAGGCATGCATGGGATCTTGATCGGGCGCTCCGTTGGTCGCAGTGACGGCTGGCGTTACCAACGGAGAGGGTAACAAGGGCTGCAAGGGCTGAAGCGATAAGGGCTGAGGCGACAAGGGCTGAGGCAACAAAGGTTGCAAGGGCTGAGGCAGCTCAGGGTCGAGCTCACCTTCTGCAAGCTCGATGGGCGCGGCAATCAAGAGCTCGCGTATGTGGGCGGCGATCTGTTCCCGATGGAGCGCTGAACCATCCGTTTGCTGCATCATCGTACGGAGAAAGTCTGGCGGTACGAAAAGCGGTGGATGAGACATCTTATTATCCCGGACGAGCCCCCACTTGTCAGGTTTCAACGTCTCTTAAACACTTGCTCTAAGACACCCGCAAATCATGGCCGCTCATTCCAACCGCCAGAACCAACTGCCCCCGAGCTACCACTTCTTTCTCCTCAACCCGGTGGCTCGGCTGTGCGTGGCAACGGTCGACGAGTCTCGTCGGCCAACCCGATACCTTACAGTATCTACAAATATTTCAATTTCCCGATTTGCCTAGCTGCACTAATAATAATTTCGAGCACTTGTTGTTCTAGAAGAGGTATTTAATATTTTGCTTTCCGGACAGCACAAAGCCAAAAATATTATCCCTTAAAATAGACGCCACTAAACTTTAAACATAACACCTATTTTATTCCAATTGTGCGAAAAGGTTCCTCGCTTTTCAAATGTATCGCGCATAGCTAAGGAAATAAATTATGGATTAGAAGTAACTTGCGCTACTTCTAACATACTTCTGGTTCAACGTGCCGCAGATGCATAATTTACAACGTAATTCAATCCAAAGTCTACACGGAATAATGATATTTTCACTCTCGTGATTGGCGCTTTGACGTTCTTATCAGAAAGCACAGAGTAGAAGCGCGACATCGAAACTCGAAAAAGACAGATCAGAACAGATGTGCGTATAGGTCCTTACAGTTTGGGTTTCTTTCCGCTTGGCGATTATTTTGAGGCAGAGCTTCTTGAAGTAAAGAAATAAGTCAGTGTCGAGAGCCTTCAGTTTCAAAAGTTTGAAAACCCAGGGGAACATAACTGGAACAAACGTAAACAAAACAAGGTCTCACACACACACACAAGGTTTTATTCGGAATGTAACGAAGCATGATTACTTTCCAGCGAACACTATGTAGATAACGACAGCTTAAGAAATCTAGGGCGGGGCTTCTAATTAGGTTCACGCGTCTATACGCATTTTCAGCCCAAGAAACAACAACCAAACAAATTATGCGCGCTACCCGTACTCCTCGCGAACTAGTTCTTACAAGACTCGGCTGTCGGTGAAAGACGCCATGCTGTTTTTTTGGCGTTTAAAACGTGTACTACCCATTGATATGATAAAAAATATCGTATTTTAAAATGCATCTAGATATATCTTAAATCTCCACTTAAAGGGAGAAATTGGTCATGCTCCCACACAGAATACAGGCTGTCTGATTTCAATTTTGAGGGATTTTCTTTTTGAAACGAGGGTGAGAGACGAGTGCCGCCTTCATCATGTATTTAACAGGCTCAGCGGGCACTATATGAGGGGATTATCGTCACGCTGCGTTGAATGATTAACGCAATTTTTGTTAATTAACCTTTTAATTATTGGTTTTAGGTGTCACGTTTTTAGTTCTAGGTTTTAGGGCTCATTTCAATGTATTGCCATTTCAATAACAACGAGGCAAGTGAATGTTTTTGTTCCTTCAAAAAAGTGACCCTTGGTGGACGAGGGTATTGTTCAGGCTTCCAGTGCGTTCTTATTGTACACAAGACTTAAGTCCTCCTTGGAATTTTTGTAAGAACAGATTTAAGCATACCTGTGTCTGACTTTGTTATTGAATTGAACTCCCGGGAACCGGAGCACACTTCGTTTGAACATAATACCGGAGTTTCCAACTCTCGTTCAACTTCGTTACCATTCTTTAATTTGCCTCCACATAATACTTCTAGTCCCAATCAAATTCCGCAACAACATGCAGCGAGGGGTGGAAGCTGTGATGGTATCACTTCTACTAATATTGTTCCTCTTATTTTTACTAACATTAGAAGCGTCATGAACAAGAACGATAAGTTATCTTCTAATACTGATTCTTCTAATGCTGACGTTGTTGTTCTTACTGAGACCTGGTTATCAGGCAAGATACGTAACAGCGAGATATTAAATTTTCAGAAATGTTTTCATATATACCGTCACGACAGGGCTGAAAGCAGCGGCGGCGGTGTGTTGATTGCGGTATCGAAAAACATACCGTCATTTCATATCAACGTGGTATCTTAATTGGAGCTAGTGTGGGTTGGTCTCAAATTAAAAAAAAAAAAAAAAATACATTTTAGGCGCGTGTTATCCCCGTCCCCCTAGAAGTGACACTTTTGTTTCTAACCCTCACGATGCAATCAACACAGTCATTGTTCGCTTCCCAAATGCTCCAATCATTCTTTTGGGCGATTTTACTTATCCTTCCATAGTTTGGTCAGACGTTTCTACTCATCTTAGTTCTTTCTCGTCTGAGTGCGAGGAATACGTGAACTTGTGTATGGATTTTAATCTCTCACAAATGGTTACCCAACCTACCCGTATTGCTGCTTCAACCGCTTCTGTTTTAGACCTCATCTTAACAACATCGCCTGAGCTCATTTCTTCGTTAACTCATTTGCCAGGTCTTAGTGATCATTCCTTATTGCATTTTTCCTTAGATCTACCTACATGCTTTAGGTCAAAATAAATTTAGCGAATTTCTGATTATGCACGAGCTGATTTTGATTCCTTTATTAGAACCTTTGTCTTCTTTTTTTTTTTTATTGTTACTTAGATTGTTTGGATGAGCGCTCAGTTGAGAATAACTGGTGTTTATTTAAAGAACAAGTTGCGTACCGCACTTGCCACTTCGCATTATTTTGTCCTCTCCTAAATCGCCTTGGTATAACGTGTTTTTAACAAGGCTAGCAATCAATAAAAAAATAATATTTCGTGCTGCAAAGCTATCAGAAAACGAACAGCAATGATCAGCGCACCGTACTGCAGCTGGTGTGTATAAAAAAGCACTTATAGATGCAAAATCCCATTATTTTAATAATACGTTACCCTCCTTGTTGTTAAATAACCCGCGTCAATTTTGGAAGGTTATTACTCCATCTTTCTCTTTCAATATAACGCTTAGGGATGCTGACGGAAATTAATTATCCAACGATCAGTGTTCTTTCGTTTTAAATGAAGTGTTTACTAAATCTTTCTATATTCCAGTTAGTTCTTGTTTCCCAGTATTTACCGCCTGTGATTTCTTGCCTATGTATCCTGTTGTTGTAGATAGTGAAGGAATTGCTAAGATAATTGATAACCTAAAAATGTTTTCTGCGGTAGGTACTGACAACATTAACACTAAATTTTTGAAAAACACTAAACTGTATTCCAGCATTATCCTGTTCAAGATTTTTTCTCAGTCACTTCAACATGGTGTCTTGCCATTGGATTGGAAGGTGGGGAAGATGGTTCCTGTACACAAAAGTGGCGATAAACAAAATCCATCTAAATACCGTCCCATCTCCATAACGAGTACACCATGCAAAATCCTTGAACACGTAATTTACTCTCAACTTGCAAACTTTCTGGATTCTAACTCTTTCTTTAACAAATCACAACATGGTTTTCGGAAGTTTAACTCATGCGAAACCCAACTTCTTAACTTTACTCATAATCTCCATGTCACACTTGACCAGGGTTCCAGAATTGACTGCATATTCCTTGATTTTTCCAAAGCTTTTCACAAAGTTCCTCACGCCCTTCTTTTCCATAAATTTAGTAGCCTTAACATATGTCCATATGTTCTCGCTTGGATAGACACCTTTCTGACTAACCGCCTACAGTTTGTCCACGCCAACGGAACTAATTCTCCATACTCGCCTGTCAACTCCGGTGCCCCACAAGGTTCTGTACTCGGTCCACTACTATTTCTGATATATATATTAATGATCTCCCTGTCCATGTCTTCTCTTCTATTAGCCTTCTTGATGACGACTGTGTTAATTACAAAAAAAAATCCTTAGCGACTCTGACATCTCTTCTCTTCAAATCGATATTAACAATGTAACCCAATGGGGCACCGACTGGCTTATGGAACTTCATATCTCTAAATGTAAATCCATGTGTGTCTCTCGTCAAATTAATATGTGACCTTCTTGCTCCATCAATAACTCTACCCTCCTTCCTGTGTCCTCCTATATATACCTCGGTGTTAACATTTCAAATGATCTGTCCTGGAATATTCATGTCGACTATGTCACGAAAAACGCTAATCGATTATTAGGGAACATCAAAATAAAATTTTTTCTTGCCCTTCTTTCATTAAAGCTTTTCATTTATAAAACCTTAATTCGCCCTAAACTTGAATATGCCGCCTCAATCTGAAACCCTGGTATCACCCTTGCATCTGCCGTAGAATCCATTCAAAACCGCTCCGCCCGTTCTATACTTTCTAACTAACACCGCACAGCTAGCACCACTACAATGGAAGCATCCCTCTCCTTGCCCACTCTTTCTCTTCGTCAAAAGATATCCCGCCTATGCCTGTTCCATAAGATATATCACTCTAACCCTACTCTCCGCCAAGCACTGTTTTCTGAACCATTTTACATATCACGCACCGATCATCAATTAAAAGTTGGGATCCCTCATTGCAGCACATGTACCTTTAATGCCTTCTTTTTGCATCAAACCTCGATTGACTGGAACCGCCTTCCTGCAGCCATTGTCACAATCACTGCCTTAGATAAATTTAAGATTGCCATTACCAACCTGTTACGTAATGTTTAGTAGTGAGTGTGTGTATTGTTTAATTTTTCATTGATATTTGTTTTATTCGATGTACAGTGCCATTACAAACCTGCTAAATGATGTTTAGTAGTCATTTTGTGTAGTTTTTGCCTTTTCATTGTTATTTGCTTTGTTCTATTTACTGTGCCCCACTCCTCTCTGTAATGCCTTCGGGCCCTGAGAGACTTAATAAATGAAATGAAATGAAACCTACGTATGATTTTCCTTCTCTTGTTTCGAATTTCTTCTAATCCCTTTCCCCCTTTTCCGATGATCGGACAGAGAGTCAAGAGGCCCATCGAGTCTCAAGGTCCAATAATGGAACTCTTGAAGCGTTGGACCTCCTGACTCGTCAAATACGAGCCAAGAGATCCAATGGGGGTCAAGAGGTCCAAGGCATCAAGAGATCCAAAGTGTGAAAAGATGCACGGCGAGTCAAAATGTCCAATGATTCAGGAGACCTACCATTGGCTCTTTTGACGCGTTGAATCTTTTCACTCGTTGAACCTCTTGACTCGGAATGTAAATCCGCCACTTTTCAGGGTTCCAGTGCGTGCTTATTGTCCAAAAAAACTCAATTCATCCTTGGAATTTCTTGTAAGAACAAATTTAAGCGAGGCCAACTTACGTATCCGTAGCGAATATCACTCTCTGTATGTACTTACAAACTAAAACTAGTCGCAGCGTTATTCCGCCCGAAAACGCCTGCCTGGCTTTGGTGACAAACTCGTTGGTCTCATCACTGTGCGAGTCCAGCCGGGTGGCGAATGCGCACCTGGCAATCACATCGAGGGCGTAGTTCGCGTAAAATCTGCATAGAAACACCGTAAGTAAAAAAACAGTGAAGCGCAGGATCGGTTTTCCCATGGGTTTCTGGCCCAATAAAAATGCTGCCTCGTGCATGAGGCTTTTCAGGATATATAGAAGATTCGTGTTTACTCTGACTCCGAGTGTAAAAGATAAAGGGCCCAGTATGACCTTATTTTCGAGGGTAAAAGCGCTAAAAACAACGGACAAGTAAAAGAAACGAACAACACAGAGCGCTTTTACCCTCGGAAATATGGATCACCAACTAGCCCCAGTGCGCACACTTCTACAGAGTGACGTTTCTTTTACTTGTCCGTTGTTTTTAGCGCTTTTACCCTCGGAAATATGGATCACAAACTAGCCCAAGTGCATACCCTTCTACAGAATGACCTTGCCTACCCAGTCTCGTCTCCTTATCTTTTCGAAAGCCCGAAACGAAAACCGAATGAAACGCGTGCCAGTTACTTGAAAGGTTTCACAGTTGATGTGCCAGAATCGCGGGAGCACCTTCCATAATAAACATAGATTAAAGCCTGAGACAACGAGTAATGAAATAACGGACAAGACGACGGCAAATCTCCAACACAGCCGAAGTTATTCGCACGGGGATGGCACTTTATAACCCCACACAAACAGGAAAGAGGGAACACAAAACGAAACAAAAAACACGCCACCGCCAAATTGGCGGAACTGACGAGACAGACGAACCTCACCCATACGCAACCCCCTCCCCCCCCCCCCCCCCCCCCCCCCCCAAGAAAATAAAAAAGAACATCGATTCTTTTTTTTTTTTTTTTTGCATCAAGGAAGTTTTATACAAAATTCAGCTTTATTGTGGGCTCTGCTACGTGGGCCAGACGGGTAAGTGTGTAAGTGGGGTGGTGCACGAAAGCATCCGATGTCAAAAAACCCGTGTCAAATGCTCCCATGGCAGACACCCCGTACTTTTTGCCCCGCTTTCAAAAGCTCCAGTTTCGGGAGCCCATGTAATGACGAGAATCCCCCGTGTCAGGTGGCCGGGTCCTCAACGTGACGGAGGAGCGTTCTGCTTTATCTATGAGAAAGTAAGTGTGCACGCCAGCTTGTGTAAAGTAAGCATGCCGTAACCGCCACTCAAGTAAGGAATTCCTTCTTCAGGCGTGCGCTAAACGTTCACGTCGTGCGACGTTAGAAATGAAAATACGCAGAACATATCAGTCTCTGGCAAAACATCTGAACCTACAGCTTTTATCAATATATAAGCATTGTGCGCCAGCTATTCGACGGGCTTATCGAAAAGCATCCAAAAAGTTTTATTGCCAACAACAACTTAAAAACGTGGGAAACGGCATTTTTTCCCGTTCTTCCCATAGAGTCCCATGATTGGCTGGTGTCAATCAATGGCCGCCGGTGGCGACAGTCGGCCCCAGCTGCCGAGGCCGCGGTCCGCGATCCAGCCTACTACAATAGAGATCAGTGCTCGGAACCATTCACGAGCTTCGTGCCCAAGAAATGGCGACCGCCAATGTTGCCTGACAGGGTTTTGAAAAGGATCTATAAGGCAATAAGCTGCCTGCGCTACAGGTGGCTACAGGTGGTTATCGTTATTTCTCAGCGGGGTTCCACAACGCACATCCTTTCTAAAAAGAAAAAAAAATATATTATTTTTTTTTAACTTTTCGGTAAGCTTTTTATATAATATAATATGATTCTTGAACTACTCAGTAAATGGTAGCTAGCAAAACACCACAGATGTCTAAACTGGAGGATATCGCCTGTGTGAAATGTTCATCAAGGCCAATTTCTGATTGTCTATCACAGAATTGCGTAAAAGGCTATTTCTTACGCAAATGTCAATAATTTCCTACTTTGATATTAAAAAATAAGCGAAATTATCGAGTCGTTTGTAACATTTAGTTTGAAAAAATATATTAAATACACGTTTCTAGATGTTTAAACAATTACGAGGCTCGGCAAAAAGAGAAATACTTACTGTTTTACGTCCAGTTCTCCCTCCTTTTCTGCTGTTTCTTTCAAGTGTTCCGCTGTTGTTCGGGCACAGTCAGCTATTAAGGAATTCATCTGTAACAAATGTTTTCTGCACTGTGAAGTGTGCACAAAACACCTCTGATATTAAATGTGCGATATACAGAATGCTCAATGTGGAGTTTTACACATTTTGTTTTCTAAAACAACCCGCAAAAGCTGTACTAATGCGTTCTGCACAGGTTAGTTTTACGACTAGTCCAGGGCGCGGTAAGTTAGATACTAAACTAAAATTTGTTAATTGTTTTGAATTAGTGAAAATACAAATAAGATCCAAAGTATAAACTCACGATAAGCGTCATCGAAAACCACTAAATCATTCAATTTTAAGGAAAAAAACACCAACAACTTTGATCCCTAAAGTTATTAGGTGCAAAGCTGGCGGTGTTAACGCCCGGATTATAACACCTCGGCGCGTTTATCGTCCGGGTTTTGGCGCCTCCAGCCTCGAACCTGTTGCACGTCTGCTATGTTTAGCGCATCACCGCGTTCTCCACGTGCTCCAAGTCTTTATAAAACTTAGTAAGTTAGTGGTTTTAGACAACGCTCAGCAGGTTTCTTAATGAAACCATATATTTATCTTCACTAATAAAAATAAACAACACAATTTACCTAATTAACCTTTCTATCGTGACGTATTAGACCCCTATATTGTGTTCCACTGACCGTATATAACTCACCCGCACACACCGCGTTAGTGTCATTTAAAAACAATCTGTGAAGCACTAAAAAAAACACCCAGTTGAGCTTAAAAGTCAGCGAGCCCGTAAAGTTAAATGAGACATCGTATCATCTCGGACAATACCGAAGGTAAGACCCCTTCTAAGAATCTAAAAAGCGCACAAACCTTGCGTAGCTTTCCCGTAGAAAACGCTGGGCTGGCTGCCGGTCGGATCCGCCTCCACTTGTCAACTGGGAGGATGCTCATCATGTTGTCCAGGAGTGAATCGCCGAAACTTATGAGCTGCGCACCGAAGTTTTATCATATGGCATGTGTATTACACAGTGGACCCTTTTTTCCAAAACGGCTCGCCATCTATATAGTTTAGTAACTGCCACGCATAAATATACGAGTCCTCTATTATTTGGGTACGCGCATACTTTGAACACGTATTGCACACGAGTATACTGCGCCAGTGTTCGGCCAGGGCTTGGATCCAGTCACACGGTTCGGGCCCAAGAAATGGCGAGAGCCAATGTTGCTCGATGGGGTCTTGAAAAGGCTCTGTTCCACGAGGAGGAACCGCCACGAAGAACCGTCACGAGGAACGCTCACGAAGGAGTGTCAGGAAACAAATGTCGGGCCAATTTCTCCGCCATATTTAGCGGAGAACTTGATGTCACGTGACGATGTCATATGAACTCTAGTAACGTGGCGTTAACTTATACGCAAGGTGGTTCTGCGAGACGGTAGGAGGAGTGCGCCGTGGTGCAAGATTGTTCACCAGGTTTCCTTTCACACCGTCAAGACTGTTTGCTGTTCGTGGAAGACGATGAGATGAGACGTATGCAAATTGTTTACAAGCAAGTCTGCACTTGCCCACACCCAGACTTGGGAAGTAATAATTGGGGGGTTGTGTGGATATGTATACAGCGAGCAGTTGGTCAGCAATTTCAAAGTTGCGACGAGTCACTCGTTGTATATGAGCAATTTAGCCAGTGGAGTAGTGATAAGACTTGGAAAGTAGTCCGTTACTTTTTCAAGGAAGTGTGCAATTGCCATTTTACTTTTTTTCGGAAGTAATTTGTAACGTGAATTCGTTACAAAATATTGGTAACAGATTACTTTAATTACTCGTTCATTTTTTTTTTAAATATGAGCATAATACAGTAATTGGAGCAATACGAGCAGAACATTCAGCAGCATAAAGAGAGCAAGTTGAACAAAATAGGAAACACCAGGAAGGGGAGAATAACCGAAAAGAAAATACGACTTTTTGTTTTGTATGACCGGTCACTAAAATCACTAGAAAAACGGGCAAGACATGTACAAATATACGAACGACAAAAATCAAATAAGGCAACGGAGAGTAGGCTCTCCGTCTCCTTCCATCGTGTTTTTTTTTTTTTTTTTTTTTCTTCTTCTTCTTTTGGGCAGGAGAAAGCCCTTCGTGTTCATTTGTTTTTGTCTACACCGTTTCACCCCTTCCAACTTCTTCGATGTCTCCCACCACCTGCACAGACCTCAAACGCGCTCGATTCGCGGGTTCACAACTCGCTTAACAGAGGATGTAGCCTCGCACGAGGAGGTCGAATTCTCTTTGTTTTTGATGTGCGCTACTGTATTCCATCACGCTTTTGAGGCACGGCTGAAAAGCGCCCGGCGCAAGGCTAAGAGCATCGTCTTCGAGGGTACGAACGATACTTATTTTGGTTTACTTGTCTGGGCATGGTGGTCGAGTCCACTCCTCACCTTACAGTCAACTGTCAACATGAAAGGGGGTAAGGGGGGGTTAGGCTACCTAAGGAGTGCTGACAGAAAGAGAGAGAACGCGTAAAAGGGGTGTGATCCTCTATTGTTTTGTGAGACCGATGGCCACCGCTCTCTATGCCCTCCTCTCCCC